AGGCGAGGCAACCCTTGGTTGACCTCACAGATTGCAAGGACCTTGTCATTTTACAATCCCTTATTTTTTTATATTTTATGCCTACAGCACCTGGTCTTCCTAGGTGGTCTCCCATACGAGTACTAACCAGGCCAGACCCTGCTTAGCTTCCAAGATCAGATGGGATTGGGCTTGTTCAGGGTAGCATGTCTATAGATATATATATCTATATATATATCTCTATATCTCTATCTATCTATATATATATAGTAGGAAAGGTACTTTTGTTGAGAAATTCTTAAATTTTAGCGAATATCAGATGCACCTGGGGAGCATGTAAAATGCCTGCATCCTGAATCATCAGGCCTAATGCACAGCCCGGCAACTCTGACACAGAAGGCTTCAAGACCTCCCTTGAGCGACTCTGCCCTAACAGCCCTGGCTGCATTCTTAAGTAGTCACAGGTGCCTCACCTTATCTGTCTTCAATTTCAAATGTATCCCTAAACATTCCCAGCAGAAATGATAACTGCATTGAACCAGATCCTTCCAGACCTTGTCAGCAACCTCCTCTGTCCCCCTGCCCCGCAAAAGCTTGGAGCCTAAGTTCTGCCCCAAACAATAACGAAGGCAGACCAGAAGGCACGTGTGCTTTGTTGTGCGTACTTGCTTATCGATGTGCTGTCAAAATATTAAGTCCTGAATTTAAAACCAAGAGTAGTATCAAACTGCCATCACTTAAGAATGTAAAAACCAAAGCAATATCAAAGTAACCAAAAAGTTCAGGACATTATAAACCAATCAAGAAAAGATTATTAGAAAAATATCACATTGCAGTGCTGAAGGTCAGTGAGATGTAGAGGTCGGCACAACGCAAGATACAGGGCTATGATTGTGGCTGTGACCTTGAAGCTCAGGTAGGCAGAGCGCACCTGGAGACTTGCTCTTGAAAATCTCATGTAAATCAACTTCTTCAAAATACATATATAAAATACATCATGGAAGTCATTAGTCAAGAAAATTTAAGGTGAATCCTGATATACAAGGAAAAATTACTTTATAGTATAAAAAACCTGCCTCCTCATTATCTGTTTTATAGTTGAATTCTTCTACTAGACCCCACCCCTCTGTTTGTGACCATGGCAGTGGCTTTAGCAAATTTTTCTGAAATCAAGGCCATTCTTTATAATATTAATTCCATTGGAAAAATTAGTTTCAAACAACAAAATCAAACTTCCAGAATAGGGTCTGTTTTTAATGTGGGGGCTTGTGTAACTAGTTGGTTTGATTTTGATTCTGTGTGTGTGTGTGTGTGTGTATGAGAGAGAGAGAGAGAGAGAGAGAGAGAGAGAGAGAGAGAGAGAGAGAGAGGAGAGACATGCCTTTGGCTGATAAATGCCTTCCCATTACTGAACTGTTGGTTTTTTTTCCTTTTATTCTTCCCTGCAGTATGAGTGGCACATCAACATACCATTCTTCTAAGAGCACTCAAATGCCCTGATGCCTTTGTATTCTCCCTATGCTTTTGTAGTAGTAAAAGTGAGGGAAAAGTTACCCGCCTGAGGCTTAACAGGAGTCACCTGACAGCTCCCAGAAGCTGTTTTCCTGGTAAATTTTGACATTCCTACAGAGGCCAGAGCTTCCCTGGCCCTGAGGGTAAAACCCACTCCCAGGAGTCCGCCCTCCCCCTCACAGCTTTAACACCAGAGACCTCAAGGCAGCTGGTGGGAGGCCTGGATAGAAAAGAGATAAAATGAGAAAGGTCACCAGCAGGGTATGGATGTCCGGAGAGTTTCCCTCATCTTGTTCTCTTACATCTGAAGAAACTTTCACAGTGCAAGAGCCGCATTCATAAGGGACCCAGAAAGAATGATGGTTGGGGAGCCTTCCAGGGATGCAGGTGTGGATGTTACTTACATCCACAGCTTCCGACTTAGAGGTTCCAGGCCCTTGAGGTCTTGAGGATAGGAAAAGGGGAAGAGTGCATTTGTAGTAATAACAATAACAATCACAGCTCTCATTTATTGAGCCCTTACTCATACTACAGCCTCAAAGCCATACAAAGCAGGTATTGCTATTATTTCCATTTTACAGGTAAAGAAATTGAGGCGTAGAGATATTAAATAACTTGTTAGGTTTTGCAGCAATTAAGTCCAGTGCAGGTCTGGGAACTGGTAGTCTGGCTTCGAGTCTATGCTCTTAACTACTGTGCTATACTGCCTCCTACTGGCTGTATGATCATAATAAATGTTTGAATCCCAAAAATAGGTTAGATCAGCAGTGTCCAACAAAATTGTTAATGCAAGCTACATATAATTAAAAATTTTCTAGTAACCACATTGAAAAGTAAAAAACAGGTGAAATGAGTTTTAATACTGAATTATTTAATCCATTATATCCAAAATACCATTATTTCAACATATAATTTATATAAAAAATTATTAATGAGTTTACTTTTTTTATATCAAGTCTTAAAAATCAGTGTGTTTTTTGCATTTATCACATGATCTAATTTGGAAAATTCATATTTCTGGTGCTCAATAGCCACATGTGTTAGAGCTACCAGACTGGCAGCATTAGAAACTCGGGACCTTAGAATTAGGCGCAGCACTGACAGGGACTCGAGAGGCATCATTGGACTGCACACAGCAATGGAGATGGCCCTCTTTTCCCACTTAGAAACACATCCTTAGTGTGAGCATCTCAAAAAATACTAAAAAGAGTATGAAAAGTGGAAATTTCTATTGTGTAATACCTGCTCTTGGACTTGGGTTAAAATCTCGTCTTGAGAAATGTATAATTTCTCAATGACTTTAAATTCTTAAAATAATTCCCTCTTCCAGGCCACAACTGTTCCTCCTTTTTTGTTCCCAATTGGCGAGTCCTCCTAATTCACATTCTGGCAGCAGGGTCTTAGCAAGCTTCATCTTGCTTTGAGCAAGATCATACTATGCCCACCCCACACATTTCATAGTCACAGATGTAGCCAGTATATATTCTCATTGATGAATACCTGCCACTTTCTTTGCAGGAGTGTTACTATTAGAAGCAGCCATGGTACATTTGTTATGCTAGGAATGGTCTTTAGATCTTCATACTACAGTTGCTATTTCATCAGCTCCTTTACTTATTTCTGCATAATCTCCTTACATGGTGTCTTTGGCCAAAGAACGAAAGTGTGTGAGGCCAGACATCGTGCTGTTAGGGGCCATTAGTTCTGCTCGAATTCAGACCAGCTATAGATTCTTACCTTGAAAACAGCATGACTAGTCTTGGGTGTATAACTTTCCTTATTAAATATCTAAAAGCAATAAGATTTAGGAGAAACTAGGCATGATTCATTTCCTCCCCAGATATCATGGATTTGCTTCACTTCTTGCAGAGGGAGGCAGATATTTAATGATAATTTTTATGTGGGATTTTTTTTCCCCATGAAAACAAGGGGAGAGCTTAATTATAATGTTTCATTAAGAGATATATCATCTTTCAGGCATATTGCAAGGATTATTAGTCATTCTGCTGTCAATGAGGGAAGATACTGTATAATTGCAAAATTACATTAATATCGTCAATAGAGTCAAAATAACATTTCATAGGATGTTCGAGTTAAAAGGACTATACAGAACATCTAATTTCCCAAACTTCTCTTAAGATAAGAATCACCTCGGATACTTTTAATAATAAAAAATCTGTTGCTCCATCCAAGGCACTGAATCAGAATCTTGGGAGAGGAAGGTCTAGGAAGCTGTAGTTTTAATAAGCATGAGCACCAGGCCTTAAACTTTTTGTCAGGGGAGTTAAGGGAACACTGAAGGCCCACACCTTTGTTTTACAGAGAGATCAAAGGACTTGATGGATTTCAGACAGCTACTGTACATCAGATGGGAATCGACCCCACTTTTCTTGAACACAGTCTGGGGACTTTCCAGGACACAAGGCATTAGAGTTAAAATAAAACTAAAAGCCATGATTATCTTCTGTCTATTAAAAAAAAAAAAAAAAAAAAGCAGCGGCAAGTAGCAAACTTTTCAGAGGGGTAGGTTTTATATAATTTTGAATATAATCTCCTAAACAATTCGTTCCAAGAAAATCCATTAAAAAGTAATTATGTATGTATCTGTGCATGCACACATACATTCCATTTCTACTTTATCAAATACCCAAAGGAGATCATCTTTAGTGATTAAACTGTAGTCTTTTTTGTGGTTCCTTAAATATTCCATGTGCATTAATCGTCGCTCTTTTGGATTCTCTTTTCAGCCTTCCACTCAAGTGTATATTCATTTGCTTTGAATAACCAAACTCTTACTTTACTTTTTGTCCTACTTTGAAGGAATAAGGCTATCCTTCAACAAGTAACTCAGTTAAAAAAATCATCAAAACAGAAAGTGTTACTATTTTTCCTCTACTGGAGAAAAAGTATGGCTGAAAAATTTAATGAGAAATATTTATCAAAATGTTAATTGTACCATCTTCTTGAAATAAATTTCCTTGTTTCCACAGACTGTCCAAAACCTCCAAACATTCCTATGATCATGTTGGGGGTTTCACTGGCTATTCTTCTCATTGGGGTCGTCCTACTGTGCATTTGGAAGCTGCTGGTATCATTTCATGATCGTAAAGAAGTTGCCAAATTTGAAGCAGAAAGGTCAAAGGCCAAGTGGCAAACGGTATGTGAACACTTAAGAGCTACTCCTTGTCTAGGCAAGAAAGTGTCTTGTGGCAGAGATGGCGTGTCAGCTTTCCCCTGCTCTAAAAGAGAGTTAGAATGTTATATTCTTTCTCTATTCCTCTCACCATATCCCCAGTGGCTTTGATTTCTGTTCTGCACTGGAGACAAAGGAACCTCTGTCCATTATTGGGGTTCCAGGTGGCCCTCAGAGCATCCATTCATCTCTCAGTGCAGTGAATGGATTTCTCTCTCTCTAAAGAGTCTTGTGAAACTCCTTATACAGAACCTTGATGTACTCAGGACCACTGAGGACATTTATTTTCTCACCACCAGGAGGACTCCTCAAGCCCCATTTGATAAAGCTGTATCTAAACATAAGTTTATAACATAAGTCACTTATGTTATAGCTGATGGAATAATGTTCACGAGTACTAGACAGTTCATGCCAACTACTATGGAAATACTCATTACTCACAATAGGTTACAAAGCAAAGTTGAGAAGAGTTTTTAAATACCATCTAGTTAGTTTTTCTGAATAACATAAATTTCAAACAGCTACCTGAAAAAAAAAAAACACACCAAAAGTATCAACCTTTAAATATATGTACTCAAGATATAATTTATGTGTCTCCTCTTCACAGTAAGCAAACACAAAACAGGACTCCAATATTCTCTGTTTCTTTTCCACAGGAGAAATAATTACATTTCTCGAGGCCCATAGAAACAATTTCATGGTTTTAATTTCATCTCTCTATCTCTAATGGTGCGTCCAGCTATCTAATAGCAATTACCTTACATTGCTGATTCTAAAAACAGTAATATCACAGGAGAAAATGCAAGCAAACCCAATGTTCCTTTGGGTCTATCTGCACAGATAAACTGGTGTTAACGCTTTTTCTCTAAGTTTATAGTGACATCTTCAATTCCTAAAGCAAATGGAATTTTATGTTTTAGATACATTTATCTTGATAAGGGATGTTTACATCTTTTGCAGTTATTTGGAAATTATCATAATATATAGTGTAGGACAATGGACCATAAAAAATTTTATCTACTTTTTCTTCTCATTAGAGATGCCTTTAGACACAACAACCAGATGCAATGTATAGGTCTGATTTGAATAGTCTGACTGTAAAAATACCTTTATTAGACAACTGGAAAAGGGTTAACATAGACCGGGTATTAAAATGATAGCAATGAATTGTGGTTAACTTGATCAAGTTTGATAACGGTATAATGGCTTTGCTAAAAAATAATCCAGATTTTGGGTTGAAAGAAAATAAAGGTGGGGTTTGCTTTGAAATAATTCAGCCAAAAAAGAAAGAGGGATACTTGAAGTAAGTGTGGCAAAATCTTGATAACTGTTGAATCTGGATGATGGGTCTAGAGATGTTCATTATACAGCTTTCCTCTTCTTTTGTGTATGTAAGGATGTTTTTTGTAATTAAACAAAACCCTTTAGGAAAGCAAATTGTGAATGTGCATTGAAAATAAAACATATCCATCCTTAAGAAGGTAAAATGTAACCTGAAAACTTGGTTTGGTGACTTAAAACATAGTACTGTGAGGTCAAAGTGTTGGCACAGTTAACTGCACGTGATCTCCTGGCCATGGCTGTTTTTAACTCTCACCAACTGTCAAGCAAATGTCTGGCAATGGTCAGAAGGGCAACCAGGCAAAAGAATGTGTTAAGCTGGCACAAAAAGATAGTAGCAGCAGTTAATTGAACAACCACCAGCCCTGTGAAGTCATCTCGATATTCCCATTTTGAATGTAAGAAAACTGAGGCTCAGACAAGTTAAGAGAGTAGAGCTGTAATCGTAATTGCAGCCTCTTCTGCCAAGCTCAGCCTTGACTCTCCTAGAAATAATAATCAGGTGCTCCACAAACAAGCACATGGGCAATTATGTGTTGTGTATCTACCAACCAGCACATTTTAATGTTCTCATATGAAGGCATGAATACTGACAAATGATTAATATCTTTAAAATAACATTTTAATTAACAAATAATTTCCCCCAAACATGAATTGTTTTCCCTCAGGAAACAGAACATGACTATAATTCAAATGCTGAATTTTTGCAATTTCTTCAACTAAAATGGAACAAAAATATGCATTAAACAGATAAAACCATGAATGAAAAATGTTATTCCCTTATTAAACTGAGTTCCTTTGAATAACCAATGTTTGATGTTCCTGACTAGATAATGACTGGGTACTAATTATTCACTTGGATGCAAAAGAGGTTTAATTCAAATAATTCAATTCAAATTTCACTAATGCATCCTTTGGAAAAGAAAATGTTGCTCAGTGCATCCACTTTGGAATCCTCAGTTTGATTCTGTTTTTATTCAAAATCTATTTCTTCTCGAAGAACTGAATTTGACTGGCCTTCAAACTGCAGGAGACCTCCAGGGACAATAGGATAGTCACGTCTCCTGACCCACAGATCCCCATTGGACTCTAAAGGAGACAGGGCACAGGATGAGAAAGTTTCCTTCTTGCCTCCTGAAACATTACACCACAGCCATAAAGAGAGGTTACCTTTTATTACACTTTTAAAAATAACCCCTCATCCATATTCTTTATGAAAACAGAAAGAGAAGATATTTAAATTCATCTTTGATTAGACATTTTTTCTAGGATGACAAGTCATTAACTAGAGGCAAAAAAAAAAATTCACTCTGACATTTCTAGCAGTCATAGATTGATTTTGTACTGTGCTAAGCAAATCAGGTCTGCATTTGGCAGTTAGGCAATCATCAAGAAAACTGTGGGTCATGACAGAGAGCTTTCTTATTACCACTTTTTCAAGCTCTAAAAATGTGCCATTGCATTTACAGTATCCACGGCCTGAATTAGCATCCCCAAACCCCTGGGGAAATCGGCCTAGTCACCCAGATGGCTGGGGGAAACCTAAGCTTGTCTAAACATAGAAAGAGTGCAGACTCACCTGAAATGGAGCCACACAGCCTGTGTCTCAGCTGGAAATGCTACATAAGAGTTTACCACTGGAGGAGGCAGGAACAGACATTGCCACATTTCCCACTGCCTGCAAAACCCGATCTGAGTTCATTCTCCTGAGCTCTGATCATCAGCTGAGGGCAGGAAACACCACCGTCCCCCTCCTCCACATCCCGCCCCCCCAACCCCCACACACAGTATATACTTTCTCTTCTTCCACCTTTAAACTTTCACCTGACCCTCCTATTACAGTGGTGTCTACTTCATCCACCTGTTAGCATAAATGAATAAATGAAGTTGTTGCTTCAAAATACAGAATGAAAACTGCACAATCAAAATTAAACATTCAACTAATACTTACAAAATAACATGGTGTATTCAGTCAATTGTAACTCATCACCTCCTTTATAGTGCATATAAAATATATTTAGAGTGGGGTGGAGTGCAGTGTAATTTATTTGACATGATATGGGATGGGGCCCGCAAAAGAGTTTCTAGTCCTGTGCAGATCTAAGCTGGCCCTTCTCACAGCCATTTACTCAGAATTTTCACAGTGTCTTTTCTGTTCCCTAAGTCATCCTTTTCGTCCAGGACAGTGCTCCACCCATTATCCTCACCCTGGACTTCTTATTTTTTTCATCTTTCCTCTTCAATTGAGTTCCTTATTCTTTTGTAACCAACTAAAACTTAATAGTTTATAGTCCCTTAAACTTAATAGAATTCCATATGTGATTTTTGTTTGCAAATGATATTCTACCTGCATCTAAGACCACATTAGCATGAACCCTCCAAATCCTAAGTTCTTCAGCGACTCATGGACATGGACAATGGACTAGTGGTTACCAGAGGGGAGGGGTGAAGGGGAAAAAATAAAAAAATAAAATGTTAAAAGTAAATAAATAAACAATAAATAAATGAAATACAAAAACAAAAACAAATTCTAAGTTCTTATGGCAGTAGGACTAAATAGAGACCAGAGGCTTCTCAGATTTATCCAAGCTGATTTCAGGAATAGAGGCAACATGGTGACTTGGCCTTTGCTCACCATCCACCACCAAGGAACCCTTTTTCTATTTGCCCTCATTACCAAGATAGCATCTCTCTCCAAAGGCACATGAATAAAGGTAACATGTTAATCAGAAGTCAGTCGCTGGCTCTGGGCAACATAAAACAGATATAGGGGTCATTTCTCCTCAAAATGAGAACACTGTGGAGAATCCAAGGGCAATAGGTGGGAGAAGCCAGGGAATGTTTTTAATTTTATCTGGGTCTTCTGAGAGCTGAGAGAAATGTACTACGAATGCAAATACTATCATGTATTTTCAAATCTATACCTAGAATTCGCTACCATCTCTACAATTCATGGGATTAGGAGACCAAAGTATAAGATTTAGTAATTTGGAGGATGCGAGGTGTTACCAAGACTCCATTTATACTCAGAAATGGGCTTGAGAATGTTAAGAGTACCAAAATCTAGGGGGAAAATATCTTTATCACCCTCTCCAGGACATAAAAGGAAATTCTAAATATGAATAAGAGCTTTAAGTAAGAGCTAATAAGAAAAAGCAGCATTTATTGAGAACTTTCTGTGTGCCAGGCACTGTGCTAAAGTATATTATCCTATGGACAAGGTAGACATTTTGGTAATGCCTCATAGATGAGGACACCAAAGCTTGGAGTTGCTTAAGTAGGGTCACATGGTAGAGCTGGGTTTGAACCTAGGCCATCTGATACCAAAGCCTGTGTGTTCAACCTTGGAAAGAGGAAGAGAAGAAACTGTACCTTACCCAGGGGTCTCGTGCCTGCCAGGAACAGTTAAACCAAAGGAGAGAAATAGAAGGATCAAGCTTGGTGTTTCTTCAAACACCTAGAGAGCCATAGTCCTTCTGATCCTGGTGACAACATCTGGAAAAACATCTACAGCCCAAATGGCACAGCTGAATTATCCGGGCATTGGCACAAAACCTCCCCACTGCCCGAGGGCAAAGCCATCTTGCCTGACTTTCTTTGGGACCTGTGCTCCTTCGCGAGTCCAGTGTTCCAAACACCACCCTCTTGTGACCACTGATTCACACAGTTATTATCTAGTAAGCAAAAGCCACCTAGTTCTGTTACTACCCAGAGCAGGTGTTCACTGTCCTGAGGATCCTTCCCTGCTTCTCTCAAGCAGCTAGTCACTCTTCTTTGTGAATTTTGATCTCATTTTAGCAAGATTATTCGTGCCCCTGTTTGATGCCTCTCACCAGCAGCGCATTTCTTAAATACTGTGCCATTTATCTTTGTGCCATTTATCTTTGTATACTTCTACCAGTTCACCTTTCTCATGTTTTTACTTTTTTACTTTACATTTCACTTTTGGGTCACCTATTGTTTCATTCTATTCATTCAGTAAATACCAAGTGCCTACTATGGGCTAGCATTCTTTTCGATTCTGGTAAAATAGTAGTGAACAAAACAGATAAATTCTTGTTTTCTAACCATATTTAGTGCATTTCCAAAAAGGGTAAGAGTTTTAGAAAACACATATGGAACTAGTTATGCATATTAAAAAAGAAAAAGAAAAAGTATAAATTTTAAAATACTAAAAGTATGACATATCAAATCAATTTCAAATTATTCAAATGGCTTCCAAGACTGAGAATGACTCTTCCAATTGGTAATGTACAATGAAATTATTGAGATATATTAAAGCAGTGTCATAACAAAGTATACATGCTTTCATCTGAACTTTTTTTTTTATTATTATCTTTTAGGGAACCAATCCACTGTACAGAGGCTCTACCAGTACCTTTAAAAATGTAACCTACAAACACAGAGAAAAACAAAAGGTAGACCTTTCCACGGATGGATAGAATGACTTTATGCATGGAAAACTCTGTTTCACTGATATGAAATGTTAATGCACTGTTTAATTTTTCTTTTTTTGTTGCTTCAAAATGAGGTTGGTTTAAGATAATAATAGGTCATTTAGAGATCAGTCATTCTCTCTAAGAAGGTTAGAGACTATGTTGGCAGTTTCAAAATAATCAAGAAGAGAAATATCCTTAGCAAAGGGGAGATGGGGATCATTCAAGGCATACTAACTCTGTTGCATTAATGCCTCAAAAAAAATCATCAAAATGATTCATGGGGGCCTGATTTGCATTTGAAAAATGTTTGAAATTAGAATCTCATTTGTTGCAGGAATATAGCTACCTGAAGTCTTTGTCTCAGCAAAGTCACAAAGTTCATAATCTTACACTGTATGCTCTTACACTTAATCTTACACACATAATCTTACACTTGCCAATTAATTCCAAACTTTTACTAAATCTGCCCATTCCTACATGATTTTTTAAAAATCTAGGAGAAACGATTCTGATATTATTTCAGCAAAGAGGATGTAATTTTTCTAAAGATGTCCCAAATGTGAGAATGAATATTAGGTATTAATAACTTCTGTGGATTTGTCTGAACTTAAGTCAGGTACACAAATAAGTATTATACTTGTTTTACAGATGAGGAAGGAGTAATTTATAAATTAGGAAGTCACCAATAAAAAACAAAAATCACAATCTTATTATTTAGATTATTTTCAATTACCTGAAAAACAAACTTCTACACTCAGTTTCCCTCTTAATTCTGAGTTTTCGAGCTATTACTTCTCCCATATTTCTCAATTAATTTTACTCAGTTTCACAGTCTTCTAAACACTGTAATTGTCACATGGAAGTTTTAATTTCTTGTTAAAAATTACTTTAAATGGTTAGGTAGTTTATTCAAAGAGACCTCCAATACTACAAAAGGAACATGGGTTAACTATAGTAAAATTTTAAGTGGTTTTAAATCAAATACATCAAAAGTACAAAAGTCCTTCATGAGTAATAGATTTTTTTTAAAATCTATATTCTTTTCCCATTTGTAAAAGTCAACTTGACATTTTAGCTGCATATGGTAAATATGCATCGTACATTTACTTTAAAAAGTAAATTTTTTACTTAAAAAAATACATGTGGATAATTAGGGACCATTAGCTGATTGAAGAGATGGACTCTGCAGAATAATATTTTTTATTGTAAATACTGCTTTACAAAGCACTCTCATCTCCTTTGATCCTCATAAGGAAACCAGAGTTCAGAGTAAGTAGAAGAAATGGGTCCAGAATTTAGATCTAGCTCCACACCATTTCATCTTTCCACAGCTTGAGACTGACTCTTTAGTCAGTGAAATCATAGAAAGATTTTGTGAGTTAAGTGATAACTATCATTTGCTTAAAAATGTACTGAGACTAAACATATAGCATTTAAACTACTGGAATAGTAGGTAAAGTCTTGTACTTTTGTGCAATGTTTATTACCTTTGAGAAAATTATAATATGTAGCCTTTACCAGGTGAATAGTTCATTATGTAATGAAGGCTTCATGTTTATCCATTAAATTGGCACAGAGTAATCTATAATAAGTTTCTTCAGTTTTACAAATAGACCTGTACACGTTGATCACTTGGAAACTTTTTTTTTTCTGGTTTCTAAATAACTCAGGTAAATCGAACTTTTGTGGAGTACACAGCTATATTAAAAGAATTACTAAACAATCACCTTGGAAATCTAAAGGGCTAATGTACTGCCCGTGTTCCCGACTGCAGCCCAAGGTCTGGGGGAAATCTAGAGCAACAAGGAAGTTCCAGTACTGATGACACAACAGTAGTGTTCACTCTACATGTGATATTTTTTGTATTAGTACCGGGATTGGATTTTAGAAAATATAAGTTTTCCGCATGTGTATATATAGAGAAGAATTTGACATTTCTCTGAATATGGTTTTGACCCAAGGCTGGACCTTGAAAAGGCCAAAACATTAACAGTAGTACTTCTGTTCACTGAAGAGTTATGTTACATGAAGATAAAATGGGTTTTTGTAAGTTGTTTTATTATATTTTGTGCTGACATAAATAAACATGGTAATTTAAACAATGAACCTTAGATGGATGATAATTCCTTTTATTTGCTTGATACAAAGCCTGCTTCTTGGATTTCTGGATCCCTATGTGACCTGCTTTGACCACCTTGCTGATCTCAGTCTGGGGCCAAGAAGAAGAACAAAAAGAGGCAGCCACCGAAAGCAGAAGACAGCAGGAAACAGGCCATAATTTGCTGCATCATCACAATACCCACATCATAAGGCCTTTTAAAATAAGTCTGGATGTTACTCCATATTTTGTAAAAACAGGGTTAGTGTTATGGGTTGAAATGTGGTCCCCACCTTAAAATTCATATACTGAAGTCCTAACCCCCAGTACCTTAGAATGTGACTGCTTTTGAAGATAGGATCTTTAAAGAGGTATTTAAATTAAAATGAGGTCATTAGGTTGGGCCCTAATCTAATATAATTGGTATCTTTATAAGAAGAAGAGATTAGGACACAAACATGCACAGAGGAAAGATCATTGGGAGACACAGGGAGAAGAGAGCCATCTACAAGCCAAAGAAAGAGGCCTCAGAAGAAACCAATCTTGCCAACACCTTGATCTGGAGCTTCCAGCCACCAGAATTGTGAGAAAATAAATTTCTGTTGTGTAAGCCACCCATTCTCTGGTACTTTGTTACGGCAGCCCCAGCTAACCAAAACAGTCAGGTAGCGCCATTTTTCGGAGCATCCATTTGGTAGATTCCATGGTGCCAATGTTCATTTTCCAAATCAGGAAAAATAAGCAGAGAGAAAGAAAACACTAGAAAAAGGAGTCAGCTTAGAGAAGTCCTGTCTTTGAAAGGCTCATTCTTTACAAAATGACAGAGAAAGTCAAGAGTCAAGCGTAATTATGTTCTGAAACACACTGTTCTTTGTAAATTAAGACCAGAAGTCTGGAAATCCAGGAATTGCTCCTATTTTGAATAACATGGAGAAAGTCACTTTTCTCCTTAATTTTTTCACCTGTAAGATAGTGGCAATGCCTGTCCCTCCTCGTATCTATAAAAATCCCTGACATATAGCAGAGGCTCAATAAATTCATTCCCTCAGTATTTTTAAGTATCTAATATATGCCGGACTCTGTTCTTATGATTGTGGATACAGCAATGAACAAAATAAGCCGCCCCTGTGCTCTCAAGTAGGGGAGAAGGTAATAAACAATTATATATACAACACCAGGGTACTGGATCCAGTTTAGGTGCAACTCAGATCTACGTGGCACCACCTGTCTCCCATGTCTAAGCTGGGAGTCACCCCGACACCAATTCACACAGTCTCTGTGGTAGTAAAGCCCCAGCTTCCACCTAACTCCCTAGGGGCCAGGGGACCACAGCAAGTCCTGTGCTCTAGTCCAGAGTGGCAGCTGGATCTAGTTATAAAGGAAACAGACATTTTCAATGAAAACTGCAAGGCTAAGTTGATCTGAACAGTAAAGCACCGAACCAATGAGGGAAGGGGAAAAAAACGAAGAGCTTACCTGATTGGGTGTGTGGGAGAGTCAGGAAAGATTGCAAAGTTTGGAAAGAGGGAAGAAAAAGTCTTTGGGGTAGCACCTATGTGTGGGTGATATTGAGATATATGGGTTTGGGGCTGGTTGGCTGTTCATTCAAATGTTCTCATCTTTTTGGGTTGGCTGTTCTCTGACTAAGGCAGCCTGAGAGCTTCAAGCAAGAAGGCCCAGCTACATGGAGATTTCAGCTAAGAGTCCATGTGATAAATTTAATTTGGTCCAGTTTCCCCTTTAAGACTCCTCATCACCAGAAACAATTGTGCGGTGAAATACTCCTGTGAACTCCCCCAAATCTTCCCAAAGCAACCCCAAGTCCTCCAATTTGATCTCTTCACCTCTCCACAACCATTCCTTCAAGCAGTTCTTGAAGGGACATGATATTAGAGAAGCAACCTTAACGATAATATTCCGAAACTACAGGAGAAAGCCGACTTCTCAGAGCAAATTTATTTAAATATCGTATCAATTTTGTATCATCCTCATGTTATGGGAATCTAAATGGGGAAAAAAATCCTTATTCAGAGAAAATGGGAAACAGGGATTGAACAAAATGTGATAAACATAAGTTTTCTCTTCTGTTAAATTTTATTACATTGCAGCAGACTCAAATCAACACACCTAAAAAGCAAGGAAACAAGTGTTTGGGGCTTCACTATTAAAGTGGTTCCTTTAATAGGTCAGAATACTGGATGTTAGACATTGGGCTAGGATGCTTGATCTTCTATTCTCTCCCTCTTGGCTGCACAATCAACAAAGAGAGAGCAGCATGGGCACCCCAGAAGTCTTCTTTTAAGCTCATTCTGGAGCTAGATTCTGGGAGAAAGCAGGCTCTGGAAGGCACAGATTCAACTCACACACATTTTCTGGTGTCATTAGCAACTTCAAGACTTTACAAATGGTTCTCGTTCTCGTTTGAAATTTCAATCTGACCTTTGTGATTCTTATGTACGCGTTTTATGAGGAAACTTAGTTTTCAAGTACTGTTTGTTCTTTCAGCCCAAAATATATTTGCATTCATGGTCCTTGCATAGCAGCCAATCCTTGATCCAGGTCAACATCTAAAGCTAGTGCATCATGGTCCCTATTGCTTGTCGATAACTGACTGGGTAAAAAGTCACTATGTTCATTTTTTTCATCTCATTGGACTTGCTATACCTAACATAGGTGTGCATGAGCACACACACACACATATTTCTTATTTTAACATACATATCTTACTAGATTTGTATCTATTGCTTGTTATTTATATCTATTGCTACATAGTAAATGTATCTTAACATATACATGTATTATTTCTTTCTTATTTTACTAGCTTTAAAAAGCTTACAATGTTAATAAAAATAGATAACATCTATTTTTAGTGCTTTATATAATCTAACTCATTTTTAGTGTTTTATATAATCTAGCTCATAATAAGTGCTTTATATAATCTAACTCATTCAGAGTTCACAATCATCGCATGGGGTGGTATTATTATCTCTTATTTTACAGATGAGGAAACTGAGGCAAAAGCTGTTAAGTAACTTGCCCAGGTCACACACCTAGCAAATTCGTAGTCAGAATTCGAACCCAAGTGACCTGGATGTGAAATCTATGTTCTTAACCACTGTGCTACACTGTCTTACAAATTCTAAAGGTGTAGCAATGATAAAAGCCACCTCTATTATCTACTATGACCAGCATTATGAAAAGCATATATTATCTATCTTACCACTTTTAGTCCCTGAGAGGCTTGTATTGTTTTTTCCACTTTACTAACAGGGAAACCGTTAGTAAGTTGAGGGACTTGCCCAGAGGTACCAAGTTTATAAATGTCAAGGGAGGGATTTGGACCTGAGCAAGTATTCCTCCAAAGCCCTCGGTCTTAACCACTGTGCTATACTGACTGTCACTGACTGGGTTCATCTTTTGCTCTGCCCCTTCCTCTGTATGCGAAGGAAAGTGCTACTACTCACCTGCCCCTGGTCGGATATGCCTTAGAGTTGCTTTCCCAAAAGTAGTAATGGATTTGCGCTGAGCCATGGAGGCTTAACTGCAAGGTTATGATGAAATCTAGCTATAAAATAACGGCCCTTTCAGGTCACTAGACTCTAACTAACCAAATTAGTGAGCCTGAGAATCAGTGTGGGGCATGTCTGGCTCAGCTCTTATTCTACAGCCCTGCTTGCCACCCTTAAAGGCAGATGCCTCTGAGGACTGCCACTATCCACACACATGTGAAGTTCAATATCATGAGTTCTGGGGGAAAGCTTAGCAGGTTTTGGAGGGAGGGGTCTTAGCAAGTTAAGAAATCTCCTCTCAGCTACAGTGACTTGCACAACCAAACCAGCATTTCCTGGAAACCCTGCTGTTTTATGTTAAATGGGTGGCACCGGTTGTCTGACAGGAGAGACTCCCTCTTCCTACAATGTCTTCGCTGAGGGCACGCATTGCTGTCCTCAGAGCTGCCCTGCTCCCTCCGGGGCTGGTACCAGCGGAAGTAAGCGCTGGCAGGCTTTCATTCACTGCACCAGAAGGGGCCCCACCAGCTTGGCAAGAAAGAGAACTTGGAGGGAAAAGTGGACAAATGCCCTCTCCCGCTTTGATAGCTGATTAATTAGAAGAGACAGGCAAGAGTGGGGTGATGATGATGGCACAAGTAGCCAGAAAATGATAATGATAGTGGCATAGAAGTCTCTCTAGTGTGGGTTATTCCGAAGCCCTTGTTTTGTTTTTCTTTGTTTTGTGTTGGTTCTGAAACAAGCTAGTGGAGGTATAAGTTGTGATTAGTCTTTTTAAAATTAAAGATGATGATTATCATTTACTTAAATTTTCTTTTAAAAGTTCTTAGGCTATACTGTATAAAATGTCCTGCATTCAACTTATCATCTTTATGAAGTATCTTACAAAAAACACATTTCAATGCTACTAATAAACTCAACAGTTGTTTTATAATTTTCCCCTTTGATTAATCACTTTCGTTTTATTTTCTTTTTTAAATAAAAATTATATCTATTTGTTTATTCATTTCCTTCTGTAAGTGACTATATTCTACTACATTCTCTAAGAATATTATTAGTTTTATAAACACTACAGTGGGATCATGAAAATTTAAATTAAGTAGAATAGCTGTTAAGCGTATTTTGCATATTTTTCATATATTAAATGCCTATTTCATTGATCTCAAGAAGTATGTCAGATTTTGGAAACTGTTTTACTAGGAAGATAGAATTGGAGAAGGGAAATAGAAATAAAAGAAGATTGAAAACACGGGCATAATAAAAGATATAAATTTGTCATAGAGGCGAAAAAGAAAATATACAATGTTTTTCTCTGAGGCTTTCTTGGTCATGGTCAGTCATCATCTGATTTAATCAAACCTGCTGTTCATTTTAAGAGATAACCAACTCATGCTTTTAGAAAATTCTATGGTTCATTCCAAAACCTGACAATAGTTTCAGTTCCAGATGGACACAGGAAAGCACACATCGTCATTTTCATCCTTTAGTTCTAGGGCTAC